TCTGTGAGATCCGAATGGTCATTGCAACAGATTTTGAACCCATTGGAGCATTAAGATTGGTGTTAGAATTAGTAGAAGTAGGTATTGGAGCATGGGAGACCTTATCTAACCTTATAGGGATGGGTTTTGTACTGTAGATGTTGTTGATGTGGACAGTTCCCTTTTGTGAAGGGAGTACCGGTCAGATTTGGCCATTCCCATGTAGCCTACTTTTTTTCCCCAGTGTTCATTCCAAATAAAAATTACCCAACAGAATAAGCAAATTATTGCTTAATATTATCATATGTTCTGGTCATGTAGTCTGGAGAGTATTGCTTTGGTAACCCAAAAGTGATGCTTCTCTGTTGATTTTAATCTGCCACAGCAGCTACATGGGAAAAGGATGAGCCATCTCTTCATGTGATTTATAGTATTGGAAACTCAGTGGCGGAGCAGCTCTGAGTCAGTTCTGACTTAAGCAATGAGAAAGAGATGTTATTACAAGCAAATAAAATTTTGTTGTTGTTGATACAGTTGAAACATTTCAAATGACAGATAAAGTCCTGGACATGCTCACCAGTCTATGCCAGGAAATTGAAAGGATAGCTGCCTGGTAGACTGAGTAGAATAGATCATTGTTTGTTCCCATTTCCAAGAAAGATAACCCAACAGAATGTGGAAATTGATTACTATGATGAGTATCACATGCAAGCAAAATATTCCTGAAGGTAATTTAAAAAATGGCTAGATCAGAACGTTGACAGTAAACTGCCAGGCACTCAAGCTGGATTTAGAAGAAGTGTGGCACCAGGGAAACTTATCATGTCAGATGGAGCCTGGCTGATATAGCAAAGAATATCAGAAGAATGTCTATTTATGTTTTACTGACTATGCAAAGGCATTTGACTGTGTAGAGTATAACAAATTTTGGCTAACATAGAGAATAATGGGAATACAAGAACACTTAATTGTGTTTGTGTGAAATGTATAAATAGATCAAGAGGCTGTTGTATGAACAGAGCATGGTTTAAAATTAGGAAAGGTGTGTGTCAGAGTTGTATCCTTTCTCCATATCTATTTCATCTGTATGCTGAGCAAATTATTCAAGAAGTATACTCTATGAAGAAAAATGTGACATCAGGATTGGAGGAAGATTCATCAATAACCTTTGATATGTGAATGATACAACCTTGCTTGCTGAAAGTGAGGAGGACTTGAAGCACTTGCTGCAGAAGGTTAAACACTGTGACCTTCAGTATCGCATCTCAACGTCAAAACAAAAATCCTCATCACTGAATTGATAAGCAATATAATGATAAACAGAAAGGATTGAGACTGTCAATGATTTAATCTTTCTTGGACCCATAATCAATACACTTGGGGCCAGCAGTCAGAGAAAACCAGGATATATGTTGCACTGGGAAAGTGTAGGCAGGGATCTCAAAATTATCGAGGAGTAATGATGTTAGTTTCAGGTCTGTCGTGACAGTGATTCAGGCCATGGTCTTTTCAGTCATTTATTATCCATTTGAGAGCTGGATAATGACTTAAGGTTGACAGAAGAATTGATGCTATTGAACTGATGGTGTTGGAGAAGTGTGCTGAAGATTCTGTCAAAAGAACAGCCCAATATGTCTTGGAGAAGGTACAGCCACAAGTGCTCGTTGGAGGCAAAAACGATGAAACTTTGTCTAACATACTTTGGACATGTTGCTAGGAGAGGTTATTTCTTGGAGAGGGACATCGTGATTGGGAAAGTGGAGGGGCGGTGAAGGAGAAGAAGTTACTCAACCAGGTGATTTGACATGGTGCCTGCGGCAGTGGGCTTGAGAGAGACAGAGATTGTGAGGATGGCACAGGATAAAAGTGTTCAGATTGTTGGTTCATTGGGTCACTGAGTTGTACTTGACCCGATGGCATCTAACAATAATAACAACGTATTTTAGGATTTATTTGGAGTGGCTAGTTCTTTTTCTCCCTCAAAAGTGGATGATCTTGAGCCTTAGACTAAGAGTAAATGTGGAGGCCGCTTGAGGGTGTTACTTTAAAATCATTGATGAGGTGATACATAGGTCTGTGGGCTGGCATGAGACCTGAGGCCTTGGAGTCTCCCTTTACTCTGGCAGTTGGCCGGCTGGCTGACATCTTGGTGGAGGTCTTGTCTCGGTGGCAATCAGGCAAGGGAAGTTTTTGGGGTCCTTTTTCCTTTTTGTTATGTGTTACTGTTCTTTTTCTCCTCAAAAGTGAGTGGTCTTGAGCCTTAGACTAAGAAGGGTAAAGGTGGAGGCCACTCGAGGGTGTGACTTTAAAATTCTGTAGGGCCCGGGGACCTGCAGCCCTTGGACCAAATTTATTCTTTTGAAGACACAGCAATCATTTGTCTATTTGCTGTACTGAACAACTTGGAATTGCTGTGATGCTGAACACTATTCCATAGTCGTGTCAAATATCATAATGGTTACCCTATATGTACAGTGGTTGGATGAGCTTCCAGATTGATTCATGTTGTGAAGCAGGAGTGGCATCCACTTCCTAAACTGGATGCCTCTGGGAACTCTACAAACTGTTTTATAAATGTACAGAAATGATGTTAATTATAGAACAGATTTCAGGTCTTTGATGCAGAATTTACTGAGTCATATTCAACTCGACAACACTTAGCCACTGCTAAGTGAGACTAGTGCTGTTATTTCTGGAGGAACATTCTTCCACTTTGCACATCACTCTTTGTCAATGTGCTGTATGAGGTAAGCTGAGTTTGCTATGATGCTGAACCTTGTGCCATGGGGATGTCAAATACCATAATGGTTTCGCATTGTAGACAGTGTTTGGTGGAACTCCCAGTTGTAAAACAGGTTCCTAAATCCACTTCCTAAAACATGCTTCTGGAAACGCTTTTTTTAAAATTATTTTTTTTAAATTTTTTTATTATTTGTGTGTGTGTGTGTGTGTACCGTCAAATCAGATCTGACTGGTACAGGAGGAGATTGCCCCTCCTTCCTTGGCAGAGCATCTGGTGGATTCGAACCATGCGCCTCTGGGATTGCAGTGCAGCTTCTTGCCACTAGGCCACCAGAGCTTCCCTGCTTCTGGAAACTCTTAAGAACTTGAAGGAACAACGATAACTATGGAAAGGCATTAGGTCTTTTGTTCATAGAGTCAACCTAGATTTGACTAATACTAATATTATTAGTATACTAATGGACTTTAATTTATTAGCAGATTCATAGGCTGATAGGCAAGGCTAGCAGTTATGTGTAAGACGTGTAGGGGAATGAGACTGAACTCATGAACATAGAGAGCTGGAAGATAACATTTTTATATACTTATCCATGTTATGTGCTGTGAAGGTGCTTGTGACTCATAGCGCCCCTATGTACAACAGTTCTGAACCCTGCTCTATTCTGGACCAACCCCATCATCTCTGACACACCTATCCCCATTACCCCAGTCATTGAGTCGATCCATTTCTTGAGGGTCTTCCTCTTCTGTGCTGTCCCTCCACCCTCCCAAGCAGGACGTCCCTCTCCAAAGACTGGTCCCTCCTTGCAACATGTCCACCGTATGTCAGGCGAAGCTTCAGAATCCTTGCCTCCAAGGATTCTTCCTCCCTAGGACCAGCCTGTTTGTTCTCCAGTCATGCTGTAAATAAATCCATGTATACAGTAACACAAACTAAGAGCAAATGAAGAAAATGTCTTAGCCATAACCAAAGACCTTAGGAAAGTAAGTGTGCAGACTTGGGAGGTCAGGACTATAGCTAAGAAAATGGGTTCATCAAGATCAATGAGCTTGACAAAAGTTCAAAGAGCAAAGTTCTACAACCTACTTTGGTGAGTCCCAACTGATGCTGGCCTGGCTCCTGTTATGGTGAGACTGTGGCCATAAAGACAGTTTTAATTTTGAATATATGAAAAAAGGATTTTATTAGCATTGTTACAAGCATTGAACTACATAAGAACTGATTCATACAATGTATTGCCCCAATTGAGCTTTGAGCTGATAAATTATAGAGAAACAGAATCATTTAGAATTTCACAGAAAATCATCACATAAAAACCCAGAAATGGAAGTCATCTTACAAGCACGTTAGAAGAACATCTCTCTAACAGCTGGACATTGCAGATGTTAAGGTCTGGCCAAGCCCATCATGTGTTAACATACAGTGTTTACTGTTGACCATACCAGACAAACCCTGATTTTTTTTTAAAGCTTAATTTAAGAATTTACATTGAGTGTTAATCAAATAATTGTAAAAGCACATGGGGTCTGTGAGCCTCAGCGTGCAGCCTCTCCTCTGCTGGACTCTGGCCAGAGCCATGTGGACGAGGTCTCTGTGCAGCTCCCATAAAGGCTGTGGCGCTGGGTTTGGCGTGGCCTGACGACAGCCGGGTCTAGACGCCCCTCCTGATGACACTCCTCTGACGGATGACGCTGCTGTGATTGTGACTCTCAGGATGGCAGTGTCTTGGATTTCTAGCTGGGAACAAGACAGCAGGGCCGAGACAGTGCTGAGGGCTATGGCCCATGGCTGAGAAAAGGTGGTGCGAGAGCTGGTGCTGCCCACGTGGGCAGTGGGCAAGGGCCAGCAAGGCCGAGGAGCCTGTGGGACGGCAGTGTTGAGGAGGTCCTGGGGTCCATTCCAGTCAGCTCCTCGGCAGCTGAGGAGCCTGAGGCCCAGAGAGGGACGACGGGTCTTGTTTAGGGGATGCAAGGCCGGGTGACAGCGGAATGGAACCAGAGCCTGTGCTCTGTGTCAACAGGTAAGAAGGCCCAGCAGGTTCGTGGTGCTGGGAGCACTCCTGGACTAGGGGTCCTGGACAGCCCCTACCCTGCACTTCTGCTAGGGGCAGACATGAAATTTGTACCTGAGGGCTCGGTCTAACTAGAGGATTGAATTTCTGTGGTCCAAGTGAGACCCTTCTGCTCTTCGCTGTTTTCTGACTGGTCTTGTGAGTCAGGTGTTCAGGAAACCTTCTGCCCGTCCCCACCCCTGCCCCCTCTCACCTGGCACCTTGGCATCAGAAGTGAGCGTCATGGGTGCACTGGAGAGGGCTGAGGGGGGCTGTGCACACCCTCAGGGCCTATGTGGAAGAAGGTTAGGTATTAGGGCCAAGGCTCAGGAGGCCCCAGAACTCCTCTGGCCAGGGGTTGCCTGCTTCATGTTCTTGCTGTGACCTGAACACCTGCTTTGCACCACCCCACCCCCTGGTCTGGGCACACTCTCACCCCACCATGCCCAAACCACACTTTGAAAGGCTGTCCTTCCCTTCTCAGGCTCCTCCAGTCTTCTGTGGTTGTTCCTTTTCCCAGCCCCCTCCCCGGGAAGACCTGGAATAACAGTGCTGGGTTCTAGCCTGCACATCTTGGGGTGCCCTGAACCTAGGGAGTCCATCATGGACCAGAGAGGGTGGGAATCCCAGGTGGAGAGGAGCCCTGGGCCAGATGTGTGGCGTACCTGGCAGGTGGTGTGGGCGTCCCAGCCCCTGGACATGAGGGTCAACAGCTGGGGCGTGTGCTGCTCCACAAAGGGCTCGCACTGAGGGGGACAGGTGGGTGGACTCGGTGCTCTGGCCCCCCTCTCACCGGGATCACCCTGGAGCCCTCCCTCTCTGCCGACCCTACATGCAGGTTTAACCCCCAGGGCCCTCGAGAGCCCTGTCACTGTCCCCGACTCTGAGCTGAGTGGCCAAAGGACGGTGGTGGTGGTGTCCAGATCTCCTGTTAAGGATTAAAGACAAGGAGCTGGAGTGCTGGGTGATGCCTGGACTAGTGGGGACGCCTGTGGCAGACACGGGGAGAGCATTGGTATGCGTGTCCTGGCTGCAGTGTGCTCTGGACAATGCCTTTCACAACTAGAACACAACTGCGTGGGGGTGTCTCATGCCCACCCTGTGCCTGCCAAGCTACCCCACCCCTTGGTGTCCACGGTGTACCTCTTCTCTGTGTGGCCAGGCACTGTGACAGGCCTGGAGGACAGCCTGCCGTGTGGCCGGTAATGTGCTGTTCCTGGCCTGGGTGGTCAGTGACAGACAGAGGTGGCATGTGGGGTCTTGGGGTGGCCATTCTCCCAGCGGGGACTCCAGAGCCACAAGAGCTGTAGAGAAGACGGTCAAGGCAGCTTGTCTTCCCTGCTGCCCTCCAGAGGGGCCAGGAGACCAGGCAGGAGGCAGCCTTGGGGCAATGGCTCACCCGGGCCGAAGCTGTCGACAGTGGAGCACCGGAGGACAAGGCCGCAGACCAGCTGAGGCAGCACGCGGCCCAGCAGGGCGTCCAGCAGGATGACAGTGTAGCGCTCGGCCAGGCACTGGCAGATGCCGCCCACCACCAGGGGCACGACGTGGCATACCTGGCCCACAGCCACAGCCAGCACACCCTGGGGCGAGGGCAGACAGAGGGCAAGGTTGGACCCTCCCTGACCAGGAGCTCGCTGGGCAACTTGGCTGGGTCCCCATGCCCCTTCTCAGGGAGAATCATGTTCATTCACAGAGAAGGAAGCAGGCCCAGCAGGTCCAGGCGGCTTCCAGGAGCCACCGGGCAAGTGCAGATCTAGGATTCCAAAGGCTGTCTGGCCCTGAGTTTGCTGAGAGGGGTGGGTTGACTGTGAGTGGGCTTCCCCCAGGCCACACAGCAGTGCAGGCAGCACCAGGCTCCTCTCTGGGCTTGGACCCAGACCCACTCTGCTTCCCCACAGGCAGAGTAGCTCTTAGCTGGGCAGAACGTGTTGCACTGTTAACCAGAAGGCTAGTAGTTCTAATCCCTCAGCTGCTATTTGGGAGATGTTATTGTGTACCAGCCCATAGCTGGCCCTCCAGCAGGTTTTTAGAGGCAGTTTTAATTGCACAGGAGGGTATTTCCCATGTTTCTCCTGTGGAGCAGCTGGTGGATTTGAACCATGTGCCTTTGGGATGGCAGTGCAGCTCCTTACCACTAGGCCACCAGAATTCCCTCTGGGAGATAAATGTGGCCAGCTTTGCCCGTGAAAGCTGGGGAGGGTTGTCTGATGACAGTGAGTGTGTTTGGCTCTGGTATGGAGTCCTGCACATGAACATGGTTCACACATGTGCTGCTGACCGTTCCAGAGCTGCACGGAAGAAGAGCCTGGCCAGTGCCTTCTGTGAAGCCAGCGATTTGACACACATGAGCTGGCAGTGACTCCATAACAGATGGTTCAGGTTTTTGTTTGTTCCTGGTTCTTAGCGCTAACAAGTCTCCGGTCTCAGAAGCCTCTGAGGAGAAATCAGGATTCTCCCTACCTGGCCCTGACTCCAAGCATGGCCTCTGAGATGCAGGGCAAGAGAGAGAGGTGGAAACACTGACTCATCCTTCACCAGCTCGTCACTTAGGTCAGCATGCAAGACGGACCTGCCACACAGGCTGCCCTCTCCTTGGCCCAGAGGTGGTGGCTGCTGTGCTCCGGCTGCCCAGCCTCCTTCTCTCTCCCCCGTACTCACTTCCGTGGACTTAGATGGTGAAACAGCTGCTCCCAGGCAGAAGGGAGAAGTGCCAGCCTGCTCCCTAAAGTTGTCAGCCTCGAAAAGCCTGTGGGACATTCTCCTGCCCTACAGGGTTGCTGTGAATTGGATCAACTCAATAGCAATGAGAATAACTTCTGTTTCTAGCCATTGAAAGGAGCCCTGGTGGCACAGTGTTAAAATTGTTGATTGCTAATTGAAAGTCTGTTTGAAGCTACCAGCCACTTCGGGGGAATAGATGTGGCTGTTGCCAAGATTAAAGCCTTGAAAATTACTGAGTAATTCTGCCCTTCAACAAATGAATGACTAGAAAAACTGTGATACATTCACACAATGGAATATTGCACAGCATTGAAAATCAATAAACTTATAAAATTCTATACAACATGGGGAGACCTGGAGGACATTATGTTGAGTGAAGTATTTTAGTCAGAAAAGGACAAATACTGCATAACACCGGTGTTATAAAGTAGAATTGACAGGGAGAATGGGAGGAATATAGGAAAAGAATAGATAGATAATGAACACTGTATTGGAGAAGATGAGAAGAATGATCTGAAATGAATATACAATTGGCATTATATGTATAACAATCTGGAACAAGAGGTACATTGCAAAGTGGACTGGGAAAGGGAGGAAAAATTCTGCATCAATGAATGAACAAAACCCCAACCTCTCTGTAAACCTTTGTTAAAATCACAATTAAAAACACCAACACAATAATTATGGGACACTTCTACAGCTCTGGAGGGTCACTGTGCACTGGAATTGACTCAAAAGCAGTGGGTTTGACTTTTTTTAGCCTTTGGAAGTGTTAGGGAGTTCTACTTTGATACGCATGAGTTTACCATGAATCAGAATCCACTTAATGACATCTGATGTGTTATAGCCAATGGCTCTCAAAGTGATGCCCTTTGACCCAAACTCCTCCCAGGCCTGGGTGTTAACTGCCTCTCCAGCATCTCCTAAATTCACACAGGCACCCCAAACTTCACATAGGCACCAGAGGATCCTTCCTCCCTTTTTCTTCCCAGCCCTGTTTCTTCTCAAGTCCTCCAATCTCTTGGTAGTACTACCAAGAGCTGATAGCTCACGTCAAGAATTACCATGGGCTCCTTTCCCGTCCTCACTCTCCTGTTCATCACTGAAGCTGCCTGAGCCCACCGTCCAAGCATGGCCCTGTTCCTCCCACCTAACTCCACTTTCCCTCCCACCGCCAGCCCTCGTTGCACTTACTGCAGTAAACTCCCAACCAACCTCTTTGCTTTCATTCATTCTTACACCTGCCCTTACTTTCTTTCCAGTATCAGGGAATTGATCCTTCTAAACCCTAAGAGGATCATCCATCGGCTGGAAACCTTGCCATAGCTGTAAATTGCATGTAGGATAAGGTCCAGTGTTTCTTAACTTGCCTTGCCAATGTCTCCAAGTCCCAGCTCTCTCTGGTCTCTCCCTGACCCACCTTCTCCAGCCAGTGCCTTCGTCTGCTTCTTGCGATGGCCAAGTGTGCTGTTGATTTAGGCCCTTTGCATCCTAGAGTCTTGCTGTCCTCTAGATACTAGCTTGTCGCCACCCCAGAGACTCTCCTCTGATCAAGCAGCCCGATGCCTAGTTTATGCCCATAATCTTATCCCTTTTAGTCCTTAGCTTCATTTTCTTCACTGTCTGTAAAGTCTTTCCCCACCTAGAGGGTAAGTTGGATGATAGCAGATACCTCATCTGTTGCTGGGAGCCCCTAGGAACCCCATCTGGTGAAGGACTTTCCTCATTTGGGGCTGCATTTCAGGGAAGGGCAGCTTTGGACTGGCAGGCCATTGATGGTGGCCACTATGCCACTGAATCCACGGTGGAGGTTGGTGAGGGTGATTTTCTACAGACAGCTGGGGATTCTCCATCAGCCACCGGGCTCCTGGAAGGCAAGGCTGGGTCTCATCCAGCTCTATGCTCTGACAGCCAGCCTGCTGCAGGCAAACACTAACACAAAACAGAAACCTCAGACCCACTGCTGTCACGTCAGTCATCCTGACACACAGTGGCCATGAAGGTGGAATACCACCTCCCCAGAGGGCTCGGCACACTGCACATCATTTTCAAGCAGAACGACTACTTGGGTTCAATCACTCACCCTTCATGTTTGCAGTCTAACCACTGAACTACCAGGGCTTCTTGCCTGGCATAGACCCCAAACAAAGTGACTGTCATTGATTCCAACCCAGATAATCCTATGTTGCTGTGAAGAACTGATTCATAGCTGACCCTGCAGAGTGCTTTCAGAGGCAGTAATTACACAGGAGGAGATTGCACATCTTTCTCTCTTGGAGCAGCTGGTAGATTCAAGCCATGTACCTTTGTGTTGACAACACCCTTCCTTTCCACTAAGCCACAGAAGCAGACTGCCCCATCCTTCTGCACAGTGACTGGGGTGGGGGAGCACATGTTCAAATTACAGACCTTTCATAAACAGCTGAGCACATTAACCTCTGTGCCACCAGGACTTCTGTGTCTGGTGAATAGTGGCAGCTTAGTGCTCATTGAGGCGTCCTGGTGGCATAGTGATTAAGCACTCAGCTGCTGACTGAAAGCCGATGGTTCAAATCTAGTAGCCACTGTGCAGGAGAAAAACCTAGCCGTCTGTGAAGATGACACACAGTCCTGCAAACCTGCTTGGTCCTAAAGGTCACTGTGGTCAGAGTGGAGTTGATGGCAGCAGTGTGGTGGTGACGGTCACAGATGAATAGTCATTGGGGTGCCTCCCAGAGCTGGGCCTGAGCCCTGGGCCCATGAGTGAGGCTGTGCACAGGGGGTCCCTGAATGCTGGGTCCTGTGGGTGGGGCTGTGCACAGGGGGGTCCCTGAATGCTGGGTCCTGTGGGTGGAGTTGTGCACAGGAGGATCCCTCAGCCCTGGAGTCCTGTGTCTTCTCCTAGGTGGAGCTGTGCACAGTGGGGGGGTCCCTGAAATCTGGGGTTCTGTGGATGGGGTTGTTCACAGGGGGGTCCCTGAACTCTGGGTTCCTCTGGGTGGGACTGTGCACAGTGGGGGACCCTGAAATCTGGGTCCTGTGGATGGGGTTGTTCACCGGGGGGGGGAGGTCCCTGAACTCTGGGTTCCTGTGGGTGGGACTGTGCACAGGAGGTCCCTGAATTTTTGGGTCCCATGGGTAAAGCTATGCACAGGTGCTCCTTGAACTCTGGGGTCCCATGAGTTGGGCTGTGCACAGGGGGCTCCCTCTTGACTGCTGGCCACCAGCTGAGTGTGGGCCCTGCTGCTCTCTATATGGTCCTGACCTCTTACCTTGGGGATCACAGCCTGGACTCGCTTGATCAGCATCCTGCAGAGCCAGCAGAAGGGCAGGGGGATGGGGAACTTCTGCTCTGAGAGGTCCTGGAGAGAGGGCATGGGTGGATGTGGGGACTGGGAAGGGAATCTGAAAGGTTTCCTGTCACTCAAGCCCTTGGCCTGCTTCCCTCTCATGCCTCAGACCTGGGGCCCCAGATTCTCCTCTTCTCCCCTCCTCCGCCCTCCAGCCTTGCCTCCCCTCCTGCCAGTCCTCCAGCGGGACTCATGTCCTGGCCTTGTCTCTGACCTGGACCCTTCTCTCTCACGGCCAGGGCCCCTAGAGTCCGGGGCTCATGAACTTGGGCTGTGGCCCCTGGATTTCCATGACTGAGCATGAGAGGATCCTGGCTTTGTGGGCCCCCCTCACCTGAGTGTGAGGCCCAGCCTCCCTCTGGAGCGTCTCACTGGGAGGCAACACTGGCAGGACCAAACCGTCCAGCAGAGGGTCCAGCGGCCTTGGCTCCTGCGCCGGCTCCTGCCCTGGCTCAGGATGCCCAAGTTTGCACAAGCCCACATGGCCACAGATGGCCCTCGCATCCTAGGGTACAATGCAGAGGGTTGATGGGGGAGCAGCTGAAGAATAAAGGGGGTGAACCCACACTGGTCTCAAGGACTCAGCCCTTTGGAGATGTGGTGGCTGATCAGGCGAGGGCTGTGGTTCTGAACTCGGGGTGAGAGGCACAGGAGGCAGGGATGGCTGCGAATGCGTGTGAATGAGCGTGGCTGTGTGTCTGAGAGAATGGACAAGTGTAAGCACATGTGTGCTGGTCAGTGTGGCAGTGTGATGACAGGAGTGGGAAGAGCGGGTTTACATGTGGGGTGTGCCAGGTAGGAGTGTGTGTCCAGCAGTATGGGAGTGTCCTATGTGGGCAGCCCACCATGGTCAGGAGAGGAGTGAGGCCTGGCTGGCTGACTGGCTGAGGGCGATTAGTCCCTGCATGATGTGAGGGTGTGTGTGTGTCAGGGGCTGGTGGTGTGGGCCTGGCTGGTGGCTTACTAGTCCCTACATGATATGTGTGTGTGTGTGTGTGTGTGTGTGTGTGTGTGTGTGTTGGGTGCTGGAGGAATGAATGCATGCTGGACAGGCAAGGCTCCCCAGTCCTCACAATCTGGCTCTGGAAGTAGTTGATGATCAGCGGGAAGTAGAGGTTGAGCATGTGAGGACACTGGGGCACAAGCAGCTTGAGCGGGAGGACATCACACTGGTGCTCCAGAAACTTTCTTATCGTGTCCTGGGAGGGGAGGGGAGCAGAGAGGAAGAGGACATGGTCAGCCCACTCTCTCCGTGGTCAGTCCTGGCCTGAATCCTTGGATACAAGGTCCTCCTCAGGCTGATTGACTCCCCATCCCCCGCGGGGACTGGAGTTCAGAGAGAGCACCAAGGGGTTAAGGATTTGGTGCATGGAGGGAGCTTCCTGAGGAGACAGTCTCTGGCTGTTGCTGAGTTTACCTGGGGCCTTCACCTGGCCAGAAGGATCCTGGAGCCCCAGGCAAACCTAGGCCTGCCCTCAGGCCAGCCGGTAGTCTTTATAGGGAGCTACCCCTGCTCTGTCTCGACCCCCAAGCCTCCCCCATGACTTGAGCTGCATCACCTGGAAAATGTTCTCCTTGGTCATCTTGGTGAGGATGTGGACGATGTCCTCACACTCCTGACACAGATCATCCTTGGAGGAGGGACATGTGAATGGGAAGCAGACCCGCAGCACCATCTCAGATGACAGCCACTCTCAACAGAGGCTGACGAGCATTTCAAGGAATAGCCTACCATCCCGTGTAATCTTCACACCTCCCATCCCACCCCAGCTCATGATAACTCATCCCGTCCCTTCCTACACCGTCTTATGTTAACTCATGACACCCCCTCTCATGTTCACTCATCCTATCCCACCCTCTCTCATGGTCACTCATCCACTCCTATGTCATGTTCATTCCTCCCATCCCATGTTAACTCATGCCACCTCCTCTCATGTTAACTCATCCCATCCCTTCCTGCACTGTCTTATATTAACTTATCCTTCCCCCTCTCGTGTTCACTCATCCAATCTTGTGTCATGTTAATTCATCCCATCCCATGTTAGCTCAATCCATCCCATCTCATCTCTGTTAACTTATCCCATTCCATCTTATGCTAACCCATCCCAGCCCATTTCATATTAACTCCCCCCACCCTGCCTCATGTTAACTCATCTCTTCCATGTTAACTTGTTCTGTCCCATCCCATTCCACTCCATCTCTTTATAACTCATCCTATCCTACACCCTTCGATCATCAAGAGCGCCTTTCGCCTTCATCCGAACCCCTGCCCCGTGTGTCCTTGATGGCACTTACAGCTTCCACATGTCCCCAGACTTCTTGCAGGCAGTGCCCCAGAGCTCCACACTGCAGTGCTTGTTCCAGGCTTTGACACCAGAACTCAGGGCCCTGGGCGCAGGCCAGGGTTGAGGAGGTCCAGACAGCGGCTGCTGGGGCCAGAGCAGCCTTCTCAGTCCTGCTCCAGATCATTCCCAGGACACTGCACTCACTTAACCCTCAAACTCCACTCTGTGGGGACCTGGGATGCATGGCTGTTAAACCTGCTGGAGCCACATAGCTCTGGATCCCCTCTGCTCTGGAACCTCAAGCTGTGTGGCCTTGGTCAGGCCTGGGAGCCTCTCTGAGTACCAGCTTTATCTTTAAATTGAGAATAAAGAAGATACTTGGTGGGAAAGCCAGAGATGGCTGTGGTGGCATGAGGTGAGGAGGGGAGAGGACACTTACCAGTGGCTGGGCCACAGAGGGTGAGCAGCAGCAGCCACACCAGCAGGTGTGCCTTGGCCATGGCACCTCCACAAGCTGAGTGCCCGCTAGGGGTGGGGCCCTTATAGCTGGGGGTGGGGGCAGCGGCCCCCTCAGTGTTTGCTGTTGCCCTGGAGAGTCCTTCAAGGACTTGACCCACCTCTTCCTGGCAGAGACCCTCTCTTCCCCACCCACCCTTCCTTGTCTCTGAGCCCATGCTCTGTCCCTGCTCTCTGTGCCCCTTTGTTGCTCCCACTGGCCTGCACTCCTGATTCCGACCAATTGGGGTGCTTTCTCTACACCTGGTCCTGACTCACCCTCCAGGCATGAATTGGGAGCTAGGGCAGGGTTGCAGACCGCTGGGTACCCCCTCCAGCAACCTTCCAGTACTCTCCTGCACTCTTGAGTAATGCTCTTAAGAGCTTCCTGCTGCGCTCTTGATCCAGGGAGGCACAGGAAGGGCAAAGCTGGGGCCCTTGTAGCCTCATATCTCACCCTTGTGTCAAGTTTTCCCCTGGAAAGTCTCCTGGTTCTAGGGGTGGGGTACACAGTGGGTGCTGGTCAGAAGTTGTTACCAAGAGAAAACAAAATATCCTGAGTCTGAGACAAGGATGCCCACAGCCTGAGAGTCCTGTAGTCCTGGCAATGGCTCTTGGACAGCTTTGTCTGGAGGGCTCATGCCCCCTTTCAGTGCTGGGCCCCTCAGGCGTGGGCACAGCTGATGTTTCAGCCAGGCTTCTGGGCTGGACAAAGTGGCTGTCTGGCAGCATGGGGGAGCCCAACCTTATTCCCTGGGAATGAGCCCCCACCTGGTCTCAGCCTTCAGCAGACATGGCTGGGAGTGGAGGGAGAAGAGCATTAGCTGACAGGCATCGCCTTGGAGATCCAGTTATCTGAGGGTGTCCTCCCCCGTAGGAGAGCGTTACAGGCCTCCCTGATCCAGGAAATGGGGCTGTTAAGGCAAGAGTTATTACCATGATGAAAAATCGGACACAAGAAAGTAGTGCACTCAAAGTCACACAGAGATTTATGCTGTTTCTGTTGTCCTCAAGCCTTGTCTGTACAACAACAGTTGTTATCATGGGAGTTGATCAAGAATGTCTACATAAAATAGAAATAGAAAGACAACGAGTAAAACATGTATGAGGATCCAAGGGAGGGTAGGGTGGGAGCAGAGGGGTGAGGATGGGCAGGGGGGAAATCACAGGGCCACACAATGTGATGGGTAGAGGGGGTGGTAAATGAAATGGAAATGATTCAGCAGGGATCTGGAAAGACACGGTAATGGTGGGCATAGTTCAATGGTGATTAATTTTAGAAAACAATGAATGGAATGATTGTAGGAAACACAATGTGAATGAAGAATATGTGAAACACAATGTATATGAGCTTTGTAAGCAAACTAATGCAAAATAAAAGAAAAATAGAAAGATCACAAGCCTTGGGGGAAAAAACTCACCAAAACCCCCAATCGTTTATACATGCGTGTCCAGTCAACATCTGATGGGCTGGAATGAACGAAATAAAGGCAGTGGATGACATACCTAAATTTAATTGGCTTTTTGCCTTACTCTGTGTTACCACTCTGAAAAGCAGCTACTAAATGTTTGCCTAATGCTTTTAGAAAACTTAAAGATTCTAAGTTTATCCTGTAGTTCAAAGCTACATGATATCAATCCTGCCTGTGAATGGAAAATGTAGCTGTCCAGTCATTTGCTTCTGAAATGGAGCCTGTCAACAACCCGCACCCCCCAGTCAGGAACGGAGTTTCCTGTAGTTTGAAATTGCTACTTTCGATATCGGAAAGACACTGTCAAGAGGAAGAGAATGTGCCTGTGCCTCTGTTCTTCCACCCTGGAATTAGAGGGGATGTTTTTGTGTGTTTCAGCCCTACTTCTCAATACTCCTGGAAAGAAAATGATGTTTTGTCCGGCTAATTGTGATTACTCTCTCTTGAGGATTCTGCTTTTAACAGTGTGTTAATATTTTCCCCCCACGCTCTCATTTTATTAGAAGTAAATATGATCAGCTGTCAACATTTTGTATGATTGTGAATTTCACGTCAGCTCTCTAAAAAGTCCCACATATTTTCAATCTGGAGGGCGAGCATGCCTTCCTGGTACAGTTCTGTGAACCACACAGACAGGTAACTTCTAATGTTTACACTTATGACGTGCTCTAATGCTAAAGAATAACTGGAATTCTTTGCAAAAGGATTTTTACACTCAAGAGCAAACTATTTTGTACATAAAAAGCTCACCAAGAACAAGACAGTGGTGCAAAAACCACTTTCCTAAATATATTCCCCCTAAAAAATAATTTCAGATAGTAGTTTCTGGTACAGTACTCTATTTGAACAAGAATTAATAAAATAGTAAGTAGGTGAAAACTGCAACACCACAAAGATTGAGCCAGTTTACTAGTGTAATGAAACATAAGAACAGTCTTGGTACAGGCAAGCAAAATATTTCAGAAGCTGACTCGTGGCTGCACACCTGACTGATTTCAACTACAGGCACACATTGTGAGACAGATACCTTACGCAGAACGGCACTTGGTTTGCTCTTAATAGAAACAACAGAGATGCAAGTGACAATTTAGAGACATACAATGGCCTTATTTGCAGGCTGAAAATCTGGTTGTGTCCCTCTAGTCCATACACTGTTCATTGTGCAATTTGTCGACGAGTAAACAAAGAGTGCAGGATTCATCTTGGTGGCTGGTAGGCCCCTTGGTCTCTAACCAAGATAAATTCTTGGTCGATACTGCAATACCATGGAGTATGGCTGATACAAAGGGCCATCTGAGGCAAAGCTGAGCAGTTCAGACACTGGAAGTTTTTGCCTCTTAGTCGCCATCTCGTCATATAGATCAATTCCATAGTGTGATCCTTCCCCATAACTTCACCATTGCACAGGAGGGTGGGCGAATGTATTGATATTTTTGATCACCCCGTAGTATGTTCTCTATCGGACCAATATTCTAGACTCCCAATTCCAAAAACTTCTTCAGTCTCATGGCATCGCTTCTGGCAGCTGTCCAAATAATTACTGCTGACATTGTGTTTAAAGATCAGCTTCTGAGTCAGGTCAGTGTTGGGGAGCAACACGCTGAAAAACCAGGTCACTAATTGTAAAGTAAACTCACAGTCATCAATTGTAAAGTAAATTCAGTCCTCCTTGTAGTTGGAGACAAAATGGATCAGGAATGGATCAGTCACGGACTCAGAATTCTTTAAAAAATCTCCATTAAAGTGTCAATTTAGAAATGTCATTCTCAGATTTCATTGACGAATTTTGTATTTAGAGGTATGGTGATATAATACCTAGTTCTCCAGTGGGGCTAGTAAAACATCTCAATGTTTTACTATATGTTGTTGTTGTTGTTATGTGCCATTGAGTTGCCTGCGACCCGTAGCAACCCTATGTATAGCAGCTTTGAACCCTTCTCTGTCCTGAGCCAGTCTCACTAATTCCAACACATCAAACCCCATGGCCCCAGTTACTGTATCAATGCATCTCATCTGGGGTCTTCCTCTCCTGTGCTGTTGCTCCACCCTTCCAAGCATGATGTCTTTCTCCAAGGACTAGTCACTCCTGGAAATATGCCCAAAGTATGTGAGAGCTTCAAAACCCTTGCCTCCAAGGAGCAGCCTGGTTTCACCCTCTCTAGGACAGACATATTCATTCTTTTAGCAGTCCACGGTATGTTCAATACTCTTCTCCAGCACCAAAACTCAAAGGTATTGATTCTATCATCCTTAGTCATTGTTCAGCTCTCTGATGCACAGCAAGCGATTGTGAAAACTATGACTTGGATCATATGCACCTTAGTCTCTAGACTGACATCAGATTAGGTGTATGGAAGCTGTGAAGGTTAAAGTTACATGTTAACTGGATCATGAGTATCAGTAGAATATTTTCAGTGGTTTGGCAGTTAGGTAATGATGTAATTTGGCAAGCATGTAATGATGTCATTATCCTGCATTTGTCATGTGTTGTCTTAGCCCCTCTGCCTGTGATATGATCCCACGTGGGAGCTGGTTGTCTGCTGTGTTAATGAGGGAAGATTAGGGTGAAATATATCTTGAACCACCACCTTGTTAAAAGGTGTTACTTAAGCCTCTTCTGTCTTTATGTAAGCCATACTTTGTATTCTTTACTCACACAAAAGGTGTTTCCTTGAGGCATAATCTGTAGTTAATATATATGAACGCTCTGGCTAAATTCTCTCTTTTTCTTTGGATCCTGCACCTCATAATCATCTGATCTCTGGTTCTGGGAACTTGAGCCAGCACTCTGTCGTCTGACCTGCCAATTTGAATTTGTCAGTTCCTGCAACCACATGAATCAATCGGGAGCAGCCTGCAGCCTAACTTCTGACCTACGGGCTTACGACTTGCCAGCCTCCAGCACCGCATGAGTCATTTCCTTGACGGTTGGTGACTTTGTGAGCTGTTGCAGTGAGCTGCGGAACTCGAAGATGGGAGAAGGGATACTGATGTTCGAGCATGGGGTGGAGGAGGAGGAGTTGATATTAGAGACAATGGAGAGCACTGAGTAGAGATGGCAGGTTAGAAAAGCTGGACATTTGGGGTATTTAGCTTCTGCCTCAGGGGAACCAACTTTATACTAATTCTTAGAAAATGTTCGTTTAAGAAGTTCCACAGACCATACTTAAGTGGCAGGGGAGATACCATGATCCATCTGACATCCGCAATGATACCCGTGGTGCCATAGCCTGTCTAAACACATCTTGAACTTCTGGCAGTTCTCTAGTAGTTTTTGGATGATCTTCAGCAGTATTTTGCGTGCATGTGATATTAATGATATTGTTTGATAATAAAAACGGGTATAATCACTTGTCTGTCAGTTTCCTGTTTTGGAGGAGCTGCTCTTAATAGCTTAGATATGCATATATTTCCTTGCCTGTTATCTGCTCTATGAGTACAGTGCTTGTCTGTCAGATTCTGAATACTAAAGTGGAACTTCCATGTTATGACAGACTAGGAAGAAGGACTGACCAGTCACTTCCAAAATAACAGGTCTTTGAAAACCCTATGAA